GCAGGGCAGGCTCAAGGAGCCCGTTTTTCTCTCTCATTTTAGCCTCCCTCTGCACCCACTGCTAGTTCCTCCGTGGCCAAGCCATCTGCAGTAACTCACACACAGAATCAGCCTTTGTGTACACTTGCCGGATCAGGAACCTAAACGAGATGCTTTGGCGCGTGGTTACTTTCAGCCCATTCAGTGAATGAGAGGGGTGCTCATAGAGATGCACTTGGTGCCATCTTACGTGGAGAATTGTAGTTCAGTACATTGATGGGCAGCTTAAAGCATATACTTGGCTGGCATAAATCGGGCTTTGGGTGTATACTTCTGCCGGGGCCAATTTCCAGCTTCTCTAAGCACGGTTCTCCCTCCACATTAGATCCCAAGCTGCTTGCTTGCCTAACTCTAGAGGTGATTTCTGTGCCGTCATGTTGATCTCTGCTGGTGGGGGTGGTGTCTGGGGGGTTAGCTTGCCTGTATACAGAACCCCCCCCCCCCGCTTTGCTCCCTGTTTGTAATCCTATTCTAGTCAAATTTGTTTCCCAGTCACCGCGAGCTGCATTGTTCTTGCATGCTTTTTAAAAACATCCTTCTTTTCAGACAAGGTGTTTTGAGTAAACCTCATTCTTTCTTCCCAGTGTGCTTCTGTATGCATTTTCAAAATGATTTTTCCAATAAGCTTTCTCATGTATCTCTAAATCTATCAGCAGTGCTTATACCACCCTCATACATTCAGGTAGGGTTGCCAAGTATATCTTCGCCGGGAGCGGGGGGCTCCCGGCCGGCGTCTTGTGCGCACGTGCACCGCACGCACGTCACCCAGAAGTGACGGGAGGACGCCAGGCACGCTGGGGGTGGGGCCATGGCCATACAAGGGTAAACCATAGAGTTTTCCCTTGTATGGCCGTGGCCCTGCCCCCAGCGTGCCCGGCGTGCCCGCGTCACTTCCGGGTGATGCGCACATCGGAGTGGAGTTCCCCCGGGGCCCGATCCGGCGCCGCCGGGGAATGGGCCTCTGGGGCGGGGGTTTCCCTGCCCCGCGGGGGGACTTGGGATCCCTACATTCAGAGGATGTATCTCTCAGCGGGGAGGAAAGTGGGATAGAAACACTGAAACAAATACATTTGTCAGTCAGCTAAATGTATTTATGTGCCCTTGTGTGTTCTTCTCTTGGGCTCATCAGTAACCTGTTGTCTAGAATACATGGTTGATAAGTGCAGCAGTGTGTTCTGGTGATGGACATAGAGAAATTCCACTAAATAGGTATTGTCTGCACTCAGATTGGCGTATGATGTTGGGACATAACTGGGCAGGGTTTCTCAATATAAAGTAGTACGGACTTCAAAATAACTGTGTGGCAATCAGAAATTTATATCTGTGTAAGCCGCCCTGAGCATGCCTCTGCAGGGAGGGCGGGGTGAAAAAAACCCAAATAAATAACAATAAAGAATTCTTTATAAAATATTTGTGTGTCCTCATTTGTCTACTATTCCAATGTATACACAATTTATGATATTTTAGTATGCAGTACATCTGCTACATACAGAGAACATTAGGGAACATCAGAACTCCATTTCTGTGTAGACTCAATAACATTATGATCCTTTACAAGTATAAAGTCCAGTTCTTCAAATCTTTCTCCTATAATAAGGTGAAGTCTTTAAGTAGCGACTGACACCACTTCCAGATCTGGCCAACGTTTTGATTATCTTAATCAGATATACTAGAATGAATACAAATTAAACTGAAGCACCAGTCAAAATTGAAGTTGACAGCAGTTCCTATTTTCTTAACTGCTGGTAAAGCTTTACCAGTGAACTGGACTTTATACTTGTAAAGGATCACACTATTATTGAGTCTATACAGAAATGGAATTCTGATGTTCCCTAATGTTCTCTTTATGTAGCAAATGTACTGCACACTAAAATATGATAGATTGTGTATACATTGGAATAGTAGACAAATGAGGACACGCAAATATTTTATGAAGAATTTTTTATTGTTATAAATTTCTGATTGCCACACAGTTATTTTGCTTTTTTTGTACATTCCACTGAACGACTGTGGACTCTTGCATTGGATACTGTAGTGCAGGCTTGGTATGCCATTTTTGTTTTGTTCTGTTTTAAATTTCAGGTCTTAGTACCGCTACTTCTGCTGCTGCTGCTTCCTCGGCCCCATCTGCTCCTTTGTTTAAATTTGGTATTCAGTCGTCCTCTTCAGAATCGCCCCAGGCACTGGGAAGCACAGGGAAAGACTTCAAGTTTGGAGGACAAACCGGATTTAAGTTTGGCATTACGTCAGATCTGGGAGGCTCGATGGACACTATGACGGGAGGATTCAAGAGCTCTAAAACGGAAGGCTCCACGCAGGGAAGCTTTCCAGCGGAGTCTAAATCAGAGGACAGCTCAAAAGAGAGCAAGAGCAGCTTCAGCTTTGGACTTCCCTCTGGTGCTACCAGTACATCCAGCACAGGGTTTCAGTTTGGCATCGCTAACCTTGGGCAGCAAGAGAAGAAAGAAGGACTTAAGAAGCCCGCTCTCGGGGGTTTCGGTTTTGGCACAGCCGCTGCGGCTTCGTCAGAGAGTAAAACTGGAATAAGTGGCTTCAAATTTGGAAATACGGAGGAGAAGGAAGGAGGCGTGACCCCCTTTTCCTTTAAGAGCCTGGAAGAGAAGAAAGATGAGATTCCCTCGGCGAAGGGTGGGTTTGCTTTTGGTAGCGCGGAATCAGTGGCTGGCCCGCAGCTTGTTTTGGGAAGGACAGATGACAAACAGGAGACGGCAGCCCCTTCAAATCCATTAGTGTTTGGAAAGAAAGCAGAGAATGAAGAGGCAAAGGCACAGCCCGTCTTTGCGTTTGGGAAGGTGGAGCAAACCAAAGATGACAGCACAGCAAAGCCTGCTTTTAGCTTCAACCTGGCAAAACCGGCAGAGAAAGAAACGGAGCAACCCGCAAAGACGGCTTTTGCATTCGGTGCACAAGCCAACCCTGCAGGTGGGTGCAAAAAATTTCCCTGCATTTTCAGGTTTTATTTATTTATTTATTTATTTAGAGAATGTAATTTACAGAATTTATGGTCCCGCCTTTCTGCCCTCACAAGAACCACCAAGGCAGCCAACATACCTGCTAAAATCATATTTTAAAACTATTAAACACCCCCCCCAACACATATCATTAAAACCATTTTTAAAAGAGTTAAAATACATACAAGACGTAAAAAAGCAATTAAAACGTTGGTTTGGAAGGAGGGATCATTGAAGGAATGCGATGAAACAAAAAAGTCTTCCCGTGCTGGAGGAAGATGGCGACAGAAGGGGATAGATGGATCTCCCTGGGAGGAGAGAGTTCCAGAGCTTTGGTGCCTAGGGGAAGGGCCAAAAAAGCCCTTGCCGTGGTTGAGGCTAAGCGGATGTCCTTCGGGCCAGGGATCACCAGACGGCCACCCACCTAATCTCAGAAGGCCTGTGAACAAGGCCTGTGAAGAAGACCATAGTGGTTAGGCACGTTCATGAGGGGAGTAGGTAGTCTTTTTAGTTTCCTGTTGCCATGATACAGTAAGAGTCAATTATTTGGGGAGGTGACGTAAGAAGAAGAAGTTGGTTTTTATACCCCAGTTTTCTCTGCCCTAAGGAGCCTCAAAGCGGCTTACAATTGCCTTTCCCTTCCCCCCTCAAAACAGACACCTTGTGAGGTAGATGGGGCTGAGAGAGTTCTGAGGGAACTAGGGTTGCCAAGTATAACTTACCTCTGCAGCGGGGGACTCCCGGGTAGATCCCGGAGCGCGCGTGCGCGCCACACGCACATCATCAGGAAGTGACGTTATGACGTCGGGCACGCTGGGGGCGGGGCCACAACCATTCTAGGGGAAACCATAGAGTTTGCGGCGGCGGAAATCGGGCCTCCAAAGTGGGGGTTTACCTGCCCCCCGCCCCCACTTGGCAGCCCTAGAGAGAACTGTGACTGGACCAAGGTCACTCAGCAGAATTCCTGTGGAGGAAAGGGGGGAACCAAACCTGATTCCCAAGATTAGTATTGTTATAGAAGGCCGTCCAAATCTTGATGCATGCTCGTAAAATGTCCAGAAAGCAAGAAAGCCTGACAGATGAATTGCTAATAGCCCATTTGCTGAATGAAGGGCTGTATAAGAAAATGTTTCCTAATGAGCTCGTTACCGTTTAGAGTATTACTGACAGCTAAGAATTCTCAGTGATATTATTTAGCCATAAATTAGAGCATGCCCATGTTGCAAGTTTTTGAGCCTCTGGTTTGGTGTCAGAGCACACAAAAGATGTTGAAAGTGTTTTTGAACAGGCAGGTAACTCTGGGCCAGGGACTGCACTGATCAGATGGTCCTGCCCGTTCTGCAGCCTAGAATGGATTCAGTGCAAGTTCAGTTATAACATGGGACTCAGATGCACTTAAACAGGCTAATTTATCCTCTAGATTGGAGCTTTGTGACTAATTTCAGATTAACCTGAGGAGAGCCCAGAATTCTCTAACTACAGTTTTGCATCTGAATATCTAAAGTAAATTTCCATAGATTTGCTTTAGTTCCAGAGTAGCAGATTTTTTGAAATTCCCACTAACTTTAGGAGAAATGTAATACTAGAAATCACCACTGGGATTGGGGTGCTGGTGCTAAATTCCATGAAGTCACAGATGTCATCATAGTTGCTAAGTACACTTGTCATGTTTGTATGTTAAGCCAAATTTGTAACATGGTTATTCTGGGGGTCCCCACTAAAAAAAAAAAGAACTATTCAATCTGTCATTAATACATATTTATATTTGCAAGTGAAGATCTCAGAAATAACATATTTTATCATTTTAACTAATTGTTATCACTAGTTACAAGTCTCTTTGTTTCTCGTTGTATTAAATTAATGCTTTAAATACTTTTGTCAAATAGACTGATCAAAAATAGTGTGTTGGAGGAGTATCTTTTGGCTGTTAAAATAGCCATCTCTTAAATCCCTGCTTAAAAGAAGGTAGTAAAACCAGAACAAGAATGGAAACTTTAATGTGTGAAGCTGATAACTGTATATAGTATTATTCACATATTTACAGAGGAATGATTTTATAGGAGCCAGGTAACTCCTAATTAAGTAATTACAGTGAGGAAAATAATCACATATCATTGAGGTGATGCAAGTATTGTTTATTATTTATTACAAGGCAAGCAAGATAGCAAAGAACAAGAGAATGAAGACACAAAGTTTAGAAATATTTTATAATGGATACAAGATGGAAAAGGAAGCCTGTATAAAAAGTGGAGAAATGGGAAATTGTCGCCAATGCAATGCACAGAACAGATCAAAAGAGGAGCCGAACAAAGGGATTTTTAAAGCAAGAAGACGAGAAATTCATTGCAAATAACTGAGTCTAGCATAAGAGAATGAAGGAAGACTGAATTTGAAGGAAGGGAGATTCATTGAAAACCACTCCAGAATAAAAATGTGAGGAAAGGGAACGATAACTTCAAGCAGGGTCATGTAAAGGCTTTGAGTTCAGGTTGAGATCAAATTTAAGCTCATGGGAGGATATCTTATGAGGCAAATAAATATTGAGAAGAGGACAGATGATAAGCAGAGAAGTAGTGTTAGGTCACTGAGATAAAAGTGGCAGCTTAATCCAAAGAAATAGACAATAGAAGCATTAGGAAGGGAATATCTGTACATATGGTAAAGAAAGAACTCAAATACTTAGGGTCACAAAGATGTATGAGAGGAAGAAGAATAAAGACTACTAAGAGAGACAGTGAAAGGTAGACCTTAATCAAGTGAAGGTAGTATCATGAAAACAAAAGAGAATATAAAAGATATGCAGTGTTGAAAGCAAATAAATCTAATAAGAGAATAAGATACTTAGGATGTAAATAGTGTATTTCTGAGTCTCCAAAACACTTTGCATACATCAATTCTCTTGGGAATTACTTTGAGAAGGAGGAACAGAGAAGGCACTGAGAAGGCGGAAAAGAGTCTCTGGTAGAACTACCTGCCAAAGAAGTCTGGAAAAATAAAATTGAGAGAAGATCTTTTCCAGTCTCTAAAATAATAAGAGCTGGTTTCAAAGAAGATTACATGAGGCTAAGGAAAGATTAAAGTTGTGGTTGGAGTCAAAACGAACTAAAGGAGAAATGGATTATAATGGGTCAAAAGAACTAATTGTGTTGCAAGATGAATGTAAAAGCAAGAAAAGGCCAGAATATGGCAGAGTTCAGACATGATGTCAGACATGGTGTGGAATCATGCTTTAATTTGCATGTTGGGCCCTCATGGTTATTTGCATGTTGGGCCCTCCACTGTGATTTCTTAGGGTCCACCAAGTTGGGGGTCTGAAGTTGATTTGTTAGCCACAGTTGGTTATATTTATGCTATTGCATGGTAGACAAGCACAGACATCCTGGATTGTTTCCTCAGTGATGTTCACCCAGACTACAGAGGGAAGACAATGAAAACAGCATTTGTTGAGGCTTAACCAAGATTTGTGTGAACATCTCCGAGCCAAATCCTGATTTCTCAAACAAACCGTGGTTAAAATAAAATGATTTCGTGTGATAGCTGAAGGAAATACAGGTACAAAGGACACAAGACAGAAATGGAGGGGAGGGGGAAGAATACAGGAGAACAAAAAAAGGCCAAGATGAAGAAAATACTAACACAGACCTATAGGTTGAAGTGGAGGAGAGGAAGAGCATTAGTGGAAGAGTGTTTAGGGAAAGGATAGGTGTACTGAGCAAAAAAGGTAGACATAGTTGTCACCAACTGCAACTTTCAAAAAGTATCATGACTTTGTTGAGTTAACGTATGGAGGGTGGGAGAGCCACTGTGAAGTGTCATCAAGTCTTCACCATTTTGGATCATGTTGTGAATTGTGGTCACGGTCTTGAGCAGCCTGCTTTTATGGCACACAGTACGGACTGGTCTTCTTGCCAAAGCAAGGCGTGGATGCACGGCCTAGTGTCGCTACCCAGCTTTCTGGCGCAGAACACATTACAGCTTTCATAGTCTCTCTGCAGAACGTCTGCTCAGCGGACACCACCATACATACATCTGTGAAGCCTAGCCAAGTGTTAAGGAAGGACTGTTTCCCCCCTCTCTGCCTTTGTATCTTCAGCTGTTGTTTCTAAAGTAATGCAATTACTTCTCCTTTCAGATCCAGGATCAGCAAAGCCTGCGTTCAGTTTCTTGAACCCTAGTTCTTCTAACTCTGCCATGCCAAGTGTCTCTGCCGGCAGCAGCAGAGTATTCAGCAGCACTACATCTGCCTCCAATCCTCCTCCACCAACCTTTTTGTTCGGACAGGCCAGCAACACTGTGAGCAGCTCTGCTTTTGGTAATCCCACTGACTCCAGTACATCACAGTCCTTTGGGTTCTCGCAAGAGAGCAAGCCGCCAGCGACCACCTCCAGCACAAACACCCCCGTCCCATTTCTCTTTGGATCAGCAGCTGCCACTAACAGTACTGCTAACTCTGGCTTCAGTTTTGCCGCCGCCGCCACCTCCACCTCCACCACCACAGCAACTTCCGCAGGTATGCTCAAAACTCGAAGCACTTAGGTTTGTGGTGTACATTGAAGACATTTGGCTTTCCGGCAATTTGCTGCGGAGAATGTATGGGAAAGCCTGGAATGCTAGTTTAAAATGCTAGATTTGACTGAGTAGAGACAACAGATCTGTTCCCGTAACAAATTCAAGGGATTCTGGGTGAAAATGATGTAATAAACAGTATTTATGTAGTGCTTTTCCTAAGTGTTTGAGCACTTTCCCCAGAATAGCTCTGTAAATTAGCCTATAGGTAAAGGTAAAGGGTTCCCTTGCTCGAAAGCCAGTCGAATCCGACTCTAGGGTTGCGGTGCTCATCTCCGTTTCAAAGCCGAAGAGCCAGCGCTGTCCGAAGACGTTTCCGTGGTCACGTGGCCGGCATGACTAAACACCGAGGCGCACGGAACGCTGTTACCTTCCCACCGAAGTGGTACCTATTTATCTACTTGCAATTTCTTGCTTTCGAACTGCTAGGTTGGCAGGAGCTGGAACTAGAGACGGGAGCTCACTCCGTCTTGCGGCGCCCGGGTCTCGAACTGCTGAACTACCGACCTTCCACAGCCTGCAGTTCAGCGTCTTAACCACTTGAGCCACCGCAGCTCCATAAATTAGCCTATAGATTAAGCTATAAATTAATAGTTGCATATTGCCCATACAAGAGGGTTGGTGGGAGAAAGAAGTGGAGGCTTAGGAAGAACAGCTTTTCTGAAGCCATCCTGTGAGCTGAGACTTGAACCAGAGATATTGTAGCACATACTCTTAAGCACAGTGCTGTATTAGCATAATCCATCTGATTAGTATACCCCTGTACTTGGAATAGTTATGATAATTTTTGATTGGGAAATTCAGGCTGTAAAACCAACACTTACCCCTTTGCATTTCGCTCACGTCTCTTACCCCTCCCCTCCTATCACTGCTCTGTGCCCCCTCCAGTTGTCACCATCTAATATGTGGGTCTCCAGCATGGTGTCTCTGGGCGCTCTGGTGCCTGCAGCATCTTTTCTCCCACCTGCCAAGTGTTTTTTTTCCAGTGGGTGGGGCCAGGTTTTTTTTGCTCAGCAAGGCTTCTGATTGGCTATTGAGGATTTGATTGGCTGTGCAGATTTTTTGAGGATCTGCACTGTGTTAAGCTGTGGCAGTCATTCTGCGTCTGGCTCTGCCTCCAGTGGCCATTTTGTGGCCACTCCCACGATGCCATGTCTGAATTCAAAATGTGCCCGCAGGCTCAAAAGGACTGGGGGACCCCTGTTCTAATATTTCAACTACTTCCTCCTTGTCCGTGTGCCCACTTTCCTTCTCTTCACTGGCTGCTGCTGCTGCTGTTTCTCATCACAGCAATGGAGCCTTATGGTGGCTGTGTATGTACACAGAACAGAACCTTTACTGGCATGTAAAATCAGTAAGATAAAACTTCATCAAGCTAAAATGACATCTCTAAAGCTTAGAGCACACCAATATTAAGAATAGTTTCTTGCCAACAAAATCTTTAGACAAAAATTCAGCAATCTGTACAGTCACTTCAGGTGTTTTATCAGCAAGGAGAAACCTAATTGCGTTATCAGAGTTGATCCTAGACAGTAGGGCCTTAATCAAAAGTAGTTGGAGATATGAATGAAGGGGGCAGCGTAGCAGAATATGATCTAAGGTATCGGGTTCTCTAAGTGAGCATTTGCAGATTCTGTCACATTTCAGGATGACTCTATAGCTACCTGGCACCCAGGATGAGGGGAAAACATTGAATCTGGCCAACATAAAGGCTCTGCATTGCAGCGGGATCACCAAATTAGAGAAATATTGTGTATGTACACACTTGTTTAAGGCTTTAAATATTCAGTAAAGGGACCCCCTTTGGCTGTTACGTGGTAGGGAACCTGACCAGATGAACGTTTCCTACACACGCAAATTAAAAAACTCTGGAGAGTAATTTTCTATGAGGCATTCATAGAAGGAGCTGAAGTCGAGGTACTTCTCACAGGAAACCTGACTGGTGCAAGGTCGCCCGCTGCTGATATTTCTCAGTTAACTGGGTTGCTGTTACTCTCCGGTCATAAAAGGTGTGATTATTTCAGGATAACTTCTACTATTTTAAGATTAAACAACATCTGAAAGGAAACATTTAATACAAAAGGCAATTTGTAGCTGCTGGAGCCTTCTCTGATTTGTTAGATTCTTACCAAAAAAATCTGGACACACACGACCCAATCAGTTAAACAAGTATAAAGCCAACAGTCGTGATAGTCTGACCCACAATCAAACAGTCATAAGACTTATAAAGAATGCTGTTTATGTATTGCAATCTAAAGCACTATAACATGATACACAACGTCGTCTCCGGATTACATAACAACGTTTCAAAAAATGAATCTTCAGGAGATATTCTGTAGTGTACAAAAATACAATTTTTAGAATATGTGCTACACCAATAACGAGACAAGAGACAATACGATAATCTTAGTGCTTACTTACATAGTGGTGCCAAAGCTCTCAGTTTCATAAATGTTAGACAACAAGTCTTAAGAATCTGTATTTTTGTACACTACAGAATATCTCCTGAAGAAGATTCATTTTTTGAAACGTTGTTATGTAATCCGGAGACGACGTTGTGTATCATGTTATAGTGCTTTAGATTGCAATACATAAACAGCATTCTTTATAAGTCTTATGACTGTTTGATTGTGGGTCAGACTATCACGACTGTTGGCTTTATACTTGTTTAATAGTTAGATACTTAACCACCAAGTGCAGTTCCCGAGCTTATTCTGCTTGCTTGCGTATGGGCCAAGGAGCACGTGCTTTGAATGCAGAAGGTGCCAGGTTCTGCCCCTGCATCTCTAGTTTAAGGAATCTCGTGTAGCCAGTGTAAGGAGGGATGCTTGCTTCCCAAGACCCTGGAGAGCTGCTGCCCATCAGAGCGGCCAGCGCTGAGCTAGGTGGACCAGTTGACTTGTCTCGGATGTAATGCAGTTTCTTACGTTCGCCTTTCCTAGGTTCCACCTCTTCATTTGTGTTTGGTTCTGGGTCTTCAGCACCTGCCGCTGGTCCAGCCTTTGGTGCTAGTCAGACGCCAACGTTTGGTCAAAGCCAAGGCTCCAACCAGCCCCCTGCTCCAACGTTTGGGTCCCTTTCGTCATCAACACCATCGGCATTATTTTCCGCCGGCACTCAGTCTGGGCCACCAGCTTTTGGGTCTGTGTCAAGTACTACCCAGCCGCCAGTCTTTGGACAGCAAGCTGCCCAGCAACCTGGTTTTGGCTCTGGTACAGTTCCTAGTTCAGGTAAGTGCGAGAGCTCTTACAGGTCTTGTGCTACGGACTGGCACTTCTCACCAAAGAGCTGCGTTTAGTTGTTCCGCACTCCGCTGTCTGTCCTCTGTGTGTTATTCGCTTCCTTGAGTGCTTCCTGGAGGGGGGGGGAGGAATCTCAGGAGTCAGATTTTGATTTGAAATGCCTGAAAATGTTAAAAGGGACAGAAGCAGAAGATGTTTTAAAGTCAAACTTCCAACTGTATGCGTCGGCTTTGGCCTTGCAAGAAAGATCGAGGCAGATCAGTTCATTTAATTCAAGTCATCTCCTTGTTTCACAGAAGCACAGATCAATATACAGGTGGCCACTGCAGGGATTTTTTTATTTGCTTGTTTTTTTAACCCTGTTACCCTGTTTGCAGCGAGTTGTGTTTTTAAAAAGCAGATTCATAGTCTTGAACAAATAATACCACAAGGAGATAGTGTGAACATATAGGTGTGAAATAATATTGGTACTCCACGAGTCTCAAAAAGGGCACAGAGTTCTAATCAGACAACCTAGCTGGTTCTCCCCACGGCGCCGATGCAATTCTCTGCATGATCTCCTCTTTAGAATTCATTTTCCACTGACAGTGCGTGACTTTATTCATACTGTGCGAAGTGTCTCAGTCAAAACTTCGAATGCTTCAAGGGTCAAGCGACGGCAGATAAAATATTTATTATAGGGTGTACACAATAGTAAAATTAAAAACATAGGGCCTGAATGTCAGGCTGCATTAAGAGTTAGAACGAGCTTTACACAGGGCCGTAGCCGGTGGTGGGGTGGTGGGGGCGATGCCCCTTCCCCAGTCTGCATCGCCCCCTCACCCTGTCCTGGCAGCCATCCTCCAGTGACTCAGCCCTCTCGTCAACCAGGGTGCGCCTGGGAGCTTCTGCCCGAGAGCTGAGCCAAGCCAGAGGGTCCAGACAGGGCGGGGTTTGGATGGGGAGGGGGGGGCAGTTTCACAGTTCCACCGTGGCTGGGTGTTTACACCTCTGCCTCCGAGGCTGGCACATCCAGTGTGCAGAGGCAGCAGCTGGCAGCGCTGAGGCAAAGAAGGTGGAGGAAGCTGTGAGTAAGAGGGTACTGTGCCCAGGAGAGAGACGAAAGTTGCACATTCGAAGGGAGCCCTGGCCAGGAGGCGGCAGATGAACAGACCATGCCAAGGTGGCTTCAGGTCTGCCATGGGAACCCTACAGGAGGCAGTAAATTTCCTTGTTTCACAGAAGCATAGATCAATATACAGGTGGCCACTGCAGGGTTTTTTTATTTGCTTGTTTTTTTTAACCCTGTGACCCTGTTTGCAGCGAGTTGTGTTTTTAAAAAGCGGATTCATAGTCTTGAACAAATAATACCACAAGGAGGATAGTGTGAACATATAGGTGTGAAATAATATTGGTACTCCACGAGTCTCAAAAAGGGCACAGAGTTCTAATCAGACAACCTAGCTGGTTCTCCCCACGGCGCCGATGCAATTCTCTGCATGATCTCCTCTTTAGAATTCATTTTCCACTGACAGTGCGTGACTTTATTCATACTGTGCGAAGTGTCTCAGTCAAAACTTCGAATGCTTCGTCAAGCGACGGCAGATAAAATATTTATTATAGGGTGTACACAATAGTAAAATTAAAAACATAGGGCCTGAATGTCAGGCTGCATTAAGAGTTAGAACGAGCTTTACACAGGGCCGTAGCCGGTGGTGGTGGCGATGCCCCTTCCCCAGTCTGCATCGCCCCCTCACCCTGTCCTGGCAGCCACTCACGCATACACACACTCTCATACACACACTAGAAAGTTATCTCTAAATATTTGGCATGTCTACTCACCAGGTGGCTGGAGAACATCACCAGATGTTCCAGCAGGGACTTCCTCCCTCTAGTCTATCTCTGTTGTGGGGGTAGCGAGGTATCTCTGTGGCATGGGGTGACGGGGGGGGGGTCAGGTAGTAAAGGCCTGTCACCCCTTTTGATTTGCACATCTAATCCCCATGCCATTTTAGAAACTGCTTTTGAAACTTCTCCCCCGTTTCAGTTGGGATTACCAGCATCCTGGAGACACACTTGTCCTGTACCTTTAATAAAGGCTTAATAGGATGTTATCTACCAGGCGATAGACCCCCACGCCATGAAAAGCTTCATGTGCCCGTATCCACATATTAAGGCCCTGTTAAAGAGACAGGACATTCCCCCCAGTTTCAGAATAGGCTTACATGGAGATCACCTGTTGAAGAAATAAGAGCTCAAAGTTTCCTTGAGTGTGCAGAATTAGGTGCCCGTATTATTCTTGGATTCAAGATAGTGTGTGAAATCGAGCCAGGAATTCTAATACTTGGTTTTGCTGCTGTTACCATTGTGTATTGAACTACAGGGACTGAGTGAACTGCTAACGCTTCTCTATCACCAACATGTAGTGATAGCCACAGGAATAAATAGCTTTAAAAGGGGATTAGATAGATTAATTGAGGATCAGTCTATTAGTAGCCATGGTGACTGAGGGGAACCTCCACATTCAGAGGCACTAAGCCTCTGAATCCCAGAGCCAGGAGGCAACATTGGGGAAGGCCTTGGCCTCTATGCCCTGTAGTTGGCCATCCAGAGGAATTAACTGGCCACTGTGTGAGACGGGATGCTGGACTAGATGGACTGTTGGTCTGATCTAGCAGGGCTCTGCTTATTTCGTGGTTCTAGAGAGATTTAAGATTTCCAACAGACCTTTAATAATGATAGTGGTAGCTTTTCATTATATTAACATCCTGAATGTGTAAAGCTTTAAACTTTTTTTGATGTTATTGTTACCTAGTTTGTTGGTTTATAATGTTATTTTATTATTAACTTACTGTTTATAACTTTGTATGTACCTTTTCTAAAATTTAATAAAAAATTTTTTTAAATGATAGAAAAAATGCTTGCCACCCAAGAAACTTAACTCTCTCACTCTTCTAGGTCCGGTGTTCCAGTTCGGAAATAGTTCTGCCAATTTCAACTTTGCAGGCAGCAGCCCAGGAGTATTTACCTTTGGTGCACCAGCGCAGCCCGCAGGCTCTTCAGGATTTTCATTCACACAGCCTTCAGCTTTTAACCTGGGGTAAGTAGGAGGTTCATAACTTTGGGTCGCTTTGTGTACAGCGACGTGTGTGTATGTGTGTAGGCATCTAACCATGCCATGCCTTTAGATGCATGTTGTCAAGGCCAGAGAAGAAAATTTTCCAGACCCTTAGAGGCCATGGGGAACAAGTTAGCATATAAAATTGTAGTGTAAAATACCTTTGTTTTGTTCAAACAAAATTGCAAACATAAGTCTGCACTCTTTGCTGCCAGAACACAGCTTAGATTTCTGCCATCTGAGAAGCAGGAGGAAAAAAAACAGGCATCATACAGTAACAGTATGAGGATCTCTGAGTAGGTTTTGATACTGTTGCGCTCTATTCAGGAGGTTAATGGTAGTGCTACATATACCAGTGTACCATATTAATTGTAGACAAAATTAGTCCTTGAAATATGTCACATATAATTTGTATACACAGAAATTATCATTATCTAGTGGTAGTTTGTCTGACAAAAATCTCCATACTGTGCAGTTCTTAGAAAACATTTTGAGTGAGCAAAAAGCCTTTTTCTTTAAGAAGCATTTCACCCATGTGCTCATCTCCGTTTCAAAGCCGAAGAGCCAGCGCTGTCCGAAGACGTTTCCGTGATTATGTGGCCGGCATGACTAAACACCAAGGCGCACGGAACGCTGTTACCTTCCCACCGAAGTGGTCCCTATTTATCTACTTGCAATTTCTTGCTTTCAAACTGCTAGGTTGGCAGGAGCTGGAACTAGAGACAGGAGCTCACTCCGTCCTGCGGCACCCAGGTCTTGAACTGCTGAACTACTGACCTTCCACAGCCTGCAGTTATCATTATCTAGTGGTAGTTTGTCTGACAAAAGTCTCCATACTGTGCAGTTCTTAGAAAACATTTTGAGTGAGCAAAAACCCTTTTCTTTAAGAAGCATTTCACCCATACTAGGGGGAACATATTCCATAGGAATTTTCTCAGTGTTTCCCCCAAATTTCTAGTTTTTCTGCGTGTGGGGGAGGGGGGGGAACTCAGCAACACTCCCTCTAAGCTGTGGAGTCTTGTGAGCAAAAATTCTACTTTGTGAGCTACTGGCATTAAAGCTGTGAGCGAGCGATTTGGCTGCTGCATAAATTCGTTTGCTCTGGAGCCCTCCTTCCTGAGCTAAGACAGAAATGTGTGAGCCGGAGGCTAAAAAACTGAGCTAGCTCACACTAACTCAGCTTAGAGGGAACACTGAAACTCAGTGGGGGGAACTTTTAAATGTGTGTTTTCCCCCTAAATGTTCTGTCTTCCCCCCCATGACTTTTCATTTGTAGTAAGAGTATTTTGCAGTAACATGTTTAGGGATGATGTATCACTGAAAAGCAATATCTAGGAAAAATCACATCCTTTGGTGTATAAGCAAGCATGCACATCCATCCTAAATCAAAATGCTGTGGCTATTAGAAATCAACAAGTGAATGTTTTATGCACTATTTTGTACTAGTTTATATATATATATATACACACACACTTGAATTATTGTTGTTACTAGAGGCCTGGAAAGGTATTCTGTTTGTAATAATTGTTTGGATACACTATATTTTTAATATGCTAAAATTTCATGCCAAGTAAAAATGTCCATAGTCATATTTTATGTTCCTAAAGTAACAGAACGACTTTCAATATGGAAAAGAAAAAAAGAAGTGCTAATGGTAGCATTCTTTTCTAATTTTCCGAAAATTTGTCCGCCCCCCCGCCCCCCGGGAAAAACCGGGTTTTTTCCCGAGCTTCAAAATTTCCAGAAATTTTACATCTCTGGTTGTTACTACTACAAACTTAATAAAATTTATTGTATATAAAAAAGAAATCAACAAGTGGGGGGGGGGTCCATGAGATGTGTGTGGGGAGGAATCTTGTCTCGGCAAGTCACGTGTGGAGCCCTGGGTTGTTTGGCAGCTGCCGACTGGCCCAGCATAGCCCCCATGCCCCAGCTCCTGGGCTTCTCCGACTGCTGGAGGTAGAAGTGTTCACTGTGCTTTTGCAGAGAACACTTTTTTTTAGTTTGGGGGCAATTTAAACCCTACAGTATATTTTTTGTTAAGATTTAAGATTCTTCTGCAAATGTACAGGGTCCCCCTACTTTGCAGAAAAATCTCTTTAGTGTCCATATGGCCCCAATCCACAGATTTAGATATCCACAGATGGGGGCAACAGGTCATTAATAGTGTATAGATGGATGTTGTGTTGATGCAAAGAATAATGTGATAACACTTGAAGACTGACAAGTACCTTTCAGGCGTGTTTTGTGTGTGCTGCTGTCCTTGAAGTAGAAGTTGAGATTAAAACTCTTTAACTGAAAGGTGTGATTGGTAGAAAATGATGTCTTTAGTTTTTAAAAAAAAATTGTATTCCTTTGCTTAGCCTGTGCATTTTTCATGTTTGTTCTAAAATCAAGTGTTCCAACATGTCATTCTTAAGCTCTTACTTTTGATTTCCTCCTCCCCCCCCCTCCCTGAAAGCAGGAGTAACGGGAAAAATATTTTCTCGCCATCTGGATCTTCGCCATCTACTACTCGGAAGATTAAGACCGCTGTTAGACGTAGAAAATAAATATTAACAGTTGTTACAGACAGCAACTCTGTTACCACGGCTGGTTGCCCTGCATCGTTCAGTTAATGAATCGTACCTCGTGCTGGGTTTAGCTGAAGCCACGTCTGCCTAAACTCTGCTCGCTTTTTTTGCCATCTCAATTTAGGTTTTAAAAAAAACCAAAACACAATTAGAATTGGTGGCAGGGAGGACCTTGAGCAAAACTACTTAGAATCCGGCAGTTTTTCTTCACTGACTTGGCATGGTTTTGGCTATAGATGTAAATATAGCCTGCACAGCGAATGGCTTCGTATAATACCTCTGTTTGCACCACTTCGTACGCTCATCTGCGTTTACTGACACCTCGAGAAATTGTAATTATATCAGTGAGGGTAGTCTGTATAGAGTAGAGAATGTGGATAAATGAATGATTTCTATGCGGAGTTTGTGCTGATGTACGTGTGAAGTGAGCGAGTGGCGTGTATCGTGCACTAAAAGTTTCTGATAGAGGAAGAGTGCTTTAAAGGATGGTCCCTGCTAAGGACTAGTTAGATCTGTAGTACTTCATTTAACAATTAGAAGCTCTTTCTATTTCCATCCTGACAGCTCCTTATCACCTGTCTTGCCTTTTTTCATTATTTTATTATGAGACAAGCGTGTAAATACAATTCTGTTTCTCTGTGTACTACTTTGGCATAACAAATCTGTGAACTTGAAATTTTAATTTTGTGTGTTACCGCAAAAAAATTTTTTTGTTTAGTATTGTCTCAGATTTTATTATGTAAATCTCATTATTCAAAGTTGCCTAAATCCATTAAAGACCTTTAAAATTGGGAATTCTTAAAGTGAGTTTATTGGCTTTTCTGATCCATTTTTGTTTGGACCAAAAACCAGTATTGTACAAAGTGTTAAGTATATATTTTTATATTTACAGAAATGGACTCTGGTGACTTTGGATAATAAGGAAAAGTTTAATATTAAAGCCATGTTTATTACAGTATAATTAACATGTTAAACCATGGGATAAATGCCATCAATAAAAATTATGAAAAGTTTGTGCGGATTTTAATGAAGATACATAAAGTCTTACCTGAAATGCAATTTGTAAAGGCTATTCTTAGTTTAAAGAGAATATAAGTATTGTGTTTATATCGACATTTAATTAATACTGAGCAATACAAGTTGAATGTAAATTCTGCTGTTAGGTCTCCCTTAATGAGGGTACCCAACTTTTCAAGTCAAAAAGGACTGATTACAGTTGCCTGGAGCATTTGGCTGATTCTTAACTTTCAAAATACAATTTCTGTTAAATCATAATAAATACATATAATCATGACATGAGAGTATCCTTGATTAAAACTACAGCAGCCCGGCAATCGAAAAACAAGACGCTAGTAGGTCACTTCAGGCAATTTAGTTGTGACGAAGGTTGTGTTTATAATCAAAGACATTATGAAAATTAGTTTGGTAACGAATGGTTAGTAGTCCTTCCCCTTTGTCCCAGGCGTTTCTGCTGTCGTCTCCAAATGCTGAAGGAACTTGCCGTCGCCTTATAATAAACCATTAGTGTATTAACAGAAAGTGGTCAGATTACGGAATAGGGAAATGTGCATTATTGCACTGAAGACCTTTGCCTTACCATACACCACTTTCTCCTCAGTGGGGAACCCAGAGCAGCTTACCTAAATCTCCTCACGGGAACACTCTGAGGGAGATGAGGCCAAGAGTGTGAGGCTGGCCCACGGTCATTCAGCGAGCTTCACATCGCAGAGTGGTGATTGAAACCTCTGTGCCACTGTACCACACTGGCTCATTTCTACACTGGAAGCCCTCTGGGAGGTCCTACACTGGAAGCCCTCTGGGAGGTCCTCTCTCCAGTTGGCTGAGGAAAGTTGGGCTGAAAACATCCTACATCTTGTGAGGTGGAAGTTGCCCGATCGATGCAATCTCCTAACCGAAAGGCAGCTTTTGTGAGGGTTTTAGGTTTCACTGGGGCAGGGGCCCTAATACTTTTGTTAGTTCCTTCCTATCAGCAAAAAACACAGGGATTACAGAGAAGCATTGGAGTACCTTGGGTGTGTGTAGAGGAGTACTGTCCACTACCTGAGAGTGAGAAAGAGAGAAGACCCGGAAAACAAAAGCTGATGCCTGCTCCTATGTTGGGTCTGGTCCAGGGGTCATTCTAGTTCCCGAGGGAATTGGGAGTGCAGTAGTTCGCCTGGGTGAGAGAAATTCTGTCAGTGGAGCAGTTTTTTGCATACTAAGTTATACAAGATCAGAGACAGTCTTGGAGAATTGTGGTGGTCTATCGCCTACTGGGTGGTTGTGCCACAGAACTTTGTCCCTTCAATCTGTTCATAATCCAAAAAGAACAGAGATGTGTTCTCCTCAAACTTGTGTGTGCTTCTGCTGCCCCTCGCCTAGGAAGTCTTCTGGGGAAGATCAGTGTCTGAGGTAGGTTTTCTAAAAGTCTGCTAGTTTTCATCTTATATTTATAGGAATACATTTTACCTTTTTGCTTATATGGGAGAAAGCCCCACATCAGCAGTGCCCAGCCCAAATACTGATCTTGGTCTCTCGTGACCCCTGTGTCTCTGAATCCGTTTCAGAGCAATCAAAAAAATGCAGTTTAAAACACTATAATTTAAAAATCATACTGATGCACTTCAGGCACAGTGGTTAGCCTCAACCCATGCAAAGACTTCTTGGTTCCTTAGCAACACCCACATTTTTTTCACAAGGAGACGTGGGCATCTCTTCCTTAATAACCTCCCCTGGTGGCCACCACTCTGGCGAACAGGAGGACTTCAGAACTGGGAACGACAGAGGTGGTGAGAGGCACCGTGAGGGCCCTCAAATTACATCTGGAGAAATCTGCAATTTGGAAAAGAGGACTGACTGCTTTTATTTTTTTTCTGGGGCTGTCAACAGTGTTCCCTCTAAGCTGAGTTAGTGTGAGGTAGCTCACAGTTTTTTTAGCCTCCAGCTCAGATTTTTGTCTTAGCTCAGGAAGGATGGCTTCAGAACAAACTGGAGAGCCAGTTTGGTGTAGTGGTTAAGTGCACGGACTCTAATCTGGGAGAACCGGGTTTGAGTCCCCACTCCTCCACTTGCACCTGCTGATGTGACCTTGGGTCAGTCACAAGCTCTGGCACAGCTGTTCCTGAAAGAGCAGTTTGTGTCAGTTCTCTCAGCCCCACCCACCTCACAGGGTGTCTGTTGTGGGGAGGGGAAGGGAAAGGAGTTTGTAAACCGCTCTGAGACTCCAAGGACGGAGTATAAATCCAATCTCCTCTTCTCTTCTAATTCATGCAGTAGCCAAATCACTTGCTCATAACTTTACTGCCAGTAGCTCACAAAGTAGAATTTTTGCTCACAGGACTCCACAGCTTAGAGGGAGCATTGGATCTTCGACGTGGTCTCTGTGCTTCACACCCATGGGATCTAGTGTGCACGCGCTGGATCAATCAGCATTGTAGCAAGCTCTTAACGGATTTTCGCGCCCAGACCTCGGGCATGCACAGGAACCCCACCACGCATGCCCAGAGGGGTGGGTGCGGACATCCCGCCAGTTCCTTTCTTACTGCCACGTTGGAAAGACCTTTTCTCCGTTGGTCTGATTGGTTCTCTTTTGGCTATTTGCCTCACGGTTCTTCGGATTTCCCCCCTCAGTTTTCTTCTTTTTCCTTAGTCTTTCTTTGTTGTTAAAGTTTTTAAAATGTTGTTTTTTGTTGAGGGGGAAGTTGCTGGTTTACCTTAGTTTGGCCTTCGGGCTCCCCCCCCCCCAACCCCTTTCTTCTCCGCTTTTTTTTTTTTTATGGAGAAGAAGTGGGGGGTTTTCAACCACTGCAAGGGTTGCGGCAGTAAACTTGCTCCACCTGACTGCCACACCCTCTGTATTTTTTGTTTGGGGTAGTCTCACCGACCTGAGTTTTGTCGGCACTGTGCTAGGTTTTCGAACCAGACAAGAAAAAACCGAGCTGCATGCCTTAAAGTGGTGCTACTTGAGTCAGTCTTACATCCTCCCTCAGTGATGGAGTCCGAGAGACCATCAGCATCGAGGCCCTCCTCCGACATCGGCCAACTGACGTCGAAGCCACCGGCATCGAAGGTGCAATCCTCCGCTTCCACGCTGGTGAAGAAGAAGCCCAAGTCAAGTAAGGAGCACAAGTCCGCAAAAAAGGGCTCCTCGAAGTCTGTAAAGGCAGCAAAGAAGGGGAAGGTAGCGGTGTCTGCACTGGGTGATGCCCCTAAAGTGCCCCCCGCTCCAATGGCAGTATCGGCATCGGAGGCCCATGCCGCTCCGCCGATACCGACCATTCAACTCTTGGACTCCCCTATACAACAACTTGAGCGTCCTTACTCCGATATCGAGACGGTGGAGCTCCTTAGTCGCCCCCTGGACGCAGAGGCTTCTCCTTCCCCTTCCCCGTCATCAACATCGACGGTATCAGAGGCTCCCGACATCAATACACGTCGGAATCGACACACCTCTAGCAACACGCAGCGTCACCCTCCACGTCTACTTATTGAACCTGTCGATATCGATGGGCGAGTTTATAGGGACCGCTCTCAAAGGCAGGCTACTGCTTTGTCTCCGAGACATACCCGATCCAGAAGTCGATCCCCCTGAGTCTTTATCCCCACCACCACCTCTGTCTTGGGATCAACGCCAACTGAGGTATCTCTATGGGGGTTATCCACCATCCATGCCGTGGTTGACTCCGGCGGGCTATTCTGACTGGGATCAGTACTCGACCCACTTTGTCCACAAATCAAGGTCGCCCTACAAATCTAGACCTTCAGCATCTCTGTCTCGTCCTCCGGCCGAGGATCCTTTCCACCATAAACCGGAACTTTGTCATCCTCCCAGCCCCCAAGTTGTACCACCAAAGATTTTAACCACTCAAACGGAAGTCACTCTGGTTCAAGTACCAGATCAGGGCTCCTCTGATTCTGCAGAAGAGGATTCTGATACGGAGGCCTCTGAGGTTCACACCTCTCCTGACCACAAGTCTCCTAACCAAGCTGTTGCAGATGATCTACCTATATCCCCATCCGACAATCTCACTTCATATGCAGAATGGCCCATTCTCTCTGCCTCTCAGTCGTACAACACACACCGCAGGTTACAGATGCCGTCTTCGATATTGTGCAACTGGATACCCCCACTACCATAGCACTGCCCATGTCCACGGTTCTTTTACAAGCTGCGAAGGCACCATGGGAGAAGCCTTCATCAGTCCCAGTGTCAACACAACGCCTGGACCACATGTATAGAGTCCAGGAGACCAGAGCCGAATTTTTATTCTCCCACCCTCAGCCAAACTCGATGGTTGTAACATCCTCGTCCAAGTCCAAACGAACGCACTCTGCACCTTCTGACAGGGAGAGTAGAAAATTGGACGCGTTTGGGAGACGCTTCTACTCCACGGGAGCGTTGGGAGTAAAAACCACAAATTACTTAGCCTGCATAAGCATATATCGGTATACTCTGTGGGAAAGGTTTTCTGAACTCCTGACTCATCTCCCCGAAGACAAGCTTCAGGCAGCCAGAGTTATTCAGAAGGAAGGCATAGTACTTGCGAAGCAGCAGATCAACACTTCCAAACATGCCCTAGACGCTTCCTCAAGAACAATGGCCTCAGCAATAGCTCTAAGGAGGCATTTCTGGCTCCGTAATACCAATCTTCCACAAGATACTAGGTCTTATGTCAATGACCTCTCCTTCGAT